AAAAAAAAAAAAAAAGTGAAGTCCGGCATCTTTTCATACATTAAAAATAAATCCATTTGCATCTCCTTTTCTGTGATCTGTCTGTTCATAACTTTTGTTTGTGATCATGAGTTCTGAAAAAAGAAAAATATAACCATAAAGATTCCAAAAAAGTTAGAATTAGTGAAAGTAATTTGTTCTCTGTGTACATGAGTAACAAAATACAACATTCTCTTTTAATATTTTATTTTCCTGGAAAACCTAACAATCTGATCATAAAGATGTATTTTGTAGGTTTTATTAGTTTATGGAAAATGAATGTGATCACTGAAAACATATTTGGCCTCTAGAACAGTACCTGGTTCTTAGGCGATTCTCCATACATTTTGTGAGGAGAGTGTCCTGCTATTGTACATCTATTCTGTGATGGCCCCTATGCAAGATGTCACGCAAAGCTCGCCTTTTAAATGAACAAAACCGTGTATGGTAAACTACTCTCCTTGTTTTAAACGCAGGGAAAATAAAGTTTAGAGAGGCTAAAAAATGTGTCAAGGTCACACCAGCCAGTAAGTGACTGAGTAGAGATTTATAAAAATAGTTTCCAGCTGGGTGTGGTGGCTCATGCCTGTAATTCCATCACTTTGAGAGGCTAAGGCGGGTGGATCACAAGGTCAGGAGTTTGAGACTAGCCTCACCAACATGGTGAAACCATGTCTCTACTGAAAATATGAAAATTACCTGCGTGTAGTGGCAGGCACGTGTAATCCCAGCTACTCAGGAGGCTGAGGCAGGAGAATCATTTGAAAACGGGAGACGGAGGTTGCAGTGAGCTGAGACTGTGCCACTGCACTCCAGCCTGGGTGACAGAGCGAGACTCCGTCTCAAAAAAAGAAAAGAAACGAAAAGTTTCCTATTTCAAAAATCTCCCCGTGTTCGATCTTTCAACTACAATTTTGTCTTTTGTCAGTTTAGATAATTCTTAACTCAATCTCTTCACAATTGCTTTAATTATAACAGGAAATTAAACCCTGTTAGATGATATTAATAGGAATTAACACTAATTGGGGAAGGGCAGATCTGAATAATTTTGCATTGGCTTTGAAATGATAGAGTCATTGGTTTTATCATAAACGTGTTTATGCTTTTTAAATGCCACATTTATTTATTTAATATAGTTTTTAAATAGCAGGTATACAGTTACTACCTCCTAAGTGGCATAACATCTTTATGAGTTTTATAAGAGTTGCGGTATCAGGGAGGACATCTGGACCCCTCTCTGGTTCCCCAGGGTGGCAGGATTTCTATGGACTAGGCTTGGGGCTGGCTTGCTTTCTTTAATTTCACAGGTGCTAAATGTCACCTGAATGGGTTCTCTTCAACTCTAGACTTTATATAGGGATAAATGCATACTCTACTGAGAAGAACTAAACCTACAAATTATATCCAACTCATTCTTGATAAAGTATGAATATAATGACAAACCACAACTTACATACAAATATACGCTGGTTCTAGCATTGAACTGAATTCCTCTTGCCTAGCGTTTTCATGATTCTGTAGCCACGAATGGCCTGGGAGGTAGCTTATTCTCTATCTAAAATCTCTTCTAGCATCACCTTGGTTCTGTCTCTCCAACCTGTAATGTCAGCTTATGATGCATGTTGAACTGGTCAATTCTTTTAAAGTTGACCTAGCAGAATCTTCCTGTAGTCCTCTGCATCTGTTCGGAGTTTAATTCTTGAAGAATAAGCTTTTTTCCTCAAGGGTTTAGAATTGGCATTTCTGATTCTCTTGATATTTCTTTTTGTATGCATGCTGTTAGAGCTTGTATATTGGGTACATTTTTACACACATGTAATATACAAGGTTATTATGCAAGTCTGTGTAGGAGGGTGTGTTCCTTCTATAACTCCTCCAAAATGCCTGAGAAATACTTTGTTTTGCCTGCTCAGGGTGCTAAAAAGAATGGGTAAGGAAATGTAGGGAGAGAAAATTATAGCAAAATGGAAAACACGCACCACCCTTGCTGCACCCTACCTGGAAGATGCTATTATTGTTCCAATGTCTTTTTTTTTTTTTTCTTCTGTGACTGGGTCCTAGTCCATTCAGGCTGCCCAAACAAAAATACCAGAGACTGTGTGGCTTAAACAACATTCATTTCTCACAGTTCTGGAGGCTGGGAAGTTGGAGATCAAGGCACTAGCAGATTCAGTGTGTGGTGAGGAGCTTCGTCCTGGCTCACAAAGGCCATTATCTTGCTTGTCCTCACATGGCTGAAGGGAGAAGGAGCTCTCTGGATCTCTTTGGTAAGGGCACTAATTCCATTCATGAGAACCCCAACCTCATGGCTTAATTATTCCCCAAAGGCCTCATTTCCTATTATCATCACATTGGGGGTAGGATTTCAAAATATAAATTTGTCGGGGGGACACGCACATTGAGTCCATAGGAGACTGTTTCTTGTCTGTCACTGAAATATTCTCTCTGTGTAGTACCCAACTCATTGTGGCAGAGCTTAAATAATTAAATAGAGGCTTGGGTGTCATTTAACCATTTCATGTCTATTACATATGGCCTATTTAGGGCAATGTGAAACCAACGTCCCAATTATGTGTGTTTTCAAATCCTTGGTAGAACAAGACAATTATAAATATTTCCCTAAAATAGCAAGCATGATGAAATATGTTTTTAGAAATTACTATTAAGAATTCTCTCATTTAAAAATTCTGACCCAACTTTTTAAAGTATGCCTTCTACTTTAAGTTTTAGATTAGAGTTCCTGTATGGACCCGTGTGTGTTTGTATCTGTCATGTGGCTTTTAAGTGATCACATTTGAATTGCCACTTAGTTCTGACTCTCAGAGGACCAGAGCAATAGCATGTCACTAGAATAAGATCCAGTCTGATGACAAAGGATGCTTTCTGGGCAGTAACACATGAACTCAAGCGGTGAAAGCTACACTGTGCTGGTCTTTAATGATGTACACGCATCTTTGCAGCCAGCCTCATATTTCCATGGTTCCTTTCTCCAGACGCAGAAGCTTTTCTTATTTCATCAGTGTGGTAGGAATCCGAATTTATAGTCACCTAAGCTAAGGCCCTTTGATAGTAACTCTATCCTCCAATGAGCTGGAAAAAAGAAAGCACACTTTCTTGTATTTTATTTTCTTTATGTCCACAGGTGCAATATAAGTTGATTGATTACTTTCTTCTGCACAGGTTACATTAAAATTTTTTACCTTGAAAGCCTATGTAATCACATTTTTTTTCAATATGGCCTCTACTTTGAAATTTAGTGTTTTTTTTCCCCCTTTCTGTACCTATCCTCATTTTGTTGGAAAAAGATAGGTTTATATACCATAATTTGGAACCTCATTTCTGAAGTACTCAATTTCTAACACAAAAATATGGCTATGTAGCCCTCAAGCAGATGAAAGGAACCAATGATACACATTTATTTATTTATTTATTTATTGAGATGGAGTCTCACTCTGTGGTCCAGGCTGGAGTGCAGTGGCATGATCTCGGCTCACCACAACCTTCACCTCCAGGGTTCAAGTGATTCTCCTGCCTCAGCCTCCTGAATAACTGGGATCACAGGTGCATCCCACCACGCCCTGCTAATGCTTTGTATTTTTAGTAGAGATTGGTTTTCACCATATTGGCTAGGCTGGTCTCAAACTCCTGACCTCAGGTGATCCACCTGCCTCAGTCTCACGAAGTGCTGGGATTACAGGTGTGGGCCAACATAAGTGGTCCAATGATACACTTTCACTTAACTTCTGCTTTTGCTTCCTACCCTCAAATGACATTTGACCCTTTACAGAGATATTAACTGAGCTCATTTTAAACTTGTATCTAACAAAGATACAATTAATTTCTCAAGAGCAATTCAAGATATCTTATTGAGGAATGATGCCCACCATTTTAACAAAACTACTTTTTCCTTTTAGCTTGTAGACGTGTTATTGCTTGCAGCATTTTGTTCATTGTATTCTTTGCATTTTCTCAGCACAAACTTTAAAAAAAGTTACATTTTATAAATTGGGCACCCTGCATATAGTTCTTACTGGAGCTTTGTTGTTGTCAAGACAGGATCTAGGTCTGTCACTCAGGTTGGAGTGCAGTGGCGCAATCATAGCTCACTGCAGCCTTGACTTCCAGGGCTCAAATGATCCTCCCATGTGAGCCTCCCAAGTAGCTGGGACCACAGGTGCACACTACCATGCCTAGCTAATTTTTAAATTTTTGTAAAAATGGGGTCTCTCTCTGTTGCCCAGGCTGGTCTCAAACTCCTGGGTTCACGTGATTCTCTTGCCTCAGCTTCCCAAAGTGCTGGGATTACAGGCATGAGCCACAGTGTCCAGCCTTACTACAGTATTTATTGTATGTTTTATAGCCCTCTTGAGATCTACAATTTCAATTTCTCCTTATTATTTTCCCCTATTAAAAAAAAAACTCTCCAGATTATTAATTGCTTTAGAATCTTGTCTTCTCCTTTATTATTTACAGATTTCCCTGGGTGAATTCTGATGCTTTCTGTAAGTTATTTGCCCTTACAGCACTGAATCTGCGTCTTCATTATGTCCTGATAGCCTCTGGTCTCTGTCATCACAATTTGATCTCTGACTTGAACTTAAGACAGTATCTAAAAGTTCATAGTTTAGTATTCATAGATCAGACTATACTGTTTCTGCATTGTTAAGATTTGAGAATATGTCTTCGAAATCAATGTTTCTTACCCTAGTTGGTTCTGAAGGTTGTACTACAGTGTGGTGGTATAGAGCAGGGGTCCCCAACCCCTGGGCCGTGGACCCGTACTGGACTGGGGCCTCTTAGGAACTGGGCCACACAGCAGGTGGATGGTAGGTGATTGAACATTATGGCTTGACCTCTGCCTCCTGTTAGATCATCAGCATTAGATTCTCATAAGGGAATCTAACCCTATTGTGAACTGTGCCTGAGAGGGATCTAGGTTGCAAATCCTATGGTGCCAATCCTATTGTGAACTGTACCTGGGAGGGATTTAAGTTGCACACTCCTTACGAGATTCTAACTAATGCCTGATGATCTAAGGTGGAAAAATTTCATCCTAAAACCATCTCCCTGCCCACTTCCTGCCCCTTGGTCTGTGAGAGTTGTCTTCCACAAAAACCAGTCGCTGGTGCCAAGAAGGTTGGGGAGCGCTGGTGTATGTGGATTAAGAACTCTCACTTTAGAACCAGACTTCCTGGGTTCAAATTCTTACTCTACCATATATTAGCTGTGTGACCTTAGGTAAGTTGCTTAACACTTTTGTGCCTTATGTTCCCCAACTATAAAATGGGGTAATAATGTTATAGGCTGAATTGTAACCCCCCCACACACAAAAATTTATATGTCAAAGTCCCACTAGCCAATAACTCAGAATGTTACCTTATTTGGAAATAGGATCGCTGCAGATATAGTTTGTTAAATTAAAATGTCCTACTGGAGTAGGGCATGTCCCTACTCTAGTGTGGGTTATGTCCCTATAAAAAGGGAAAATTTGGACATAGACACCTGTATGCAGGGAGAACACTACATGAGGGTGAAGACGGAGATCTACAAGGCAAAGATTGCCAAAGATTGTGCCTGAAAGGGTAGGAGTGAGCCTGGAACAGATTTTCCCTCACAGCGCTTAGAAGGAACCAAACCCACTGACATCTTGGTCTTGGACTTCCAGCTGCCTAGAAGTGAGACACACTGTCTCCAGCCGTAAGACAAATGCCTGTTGTCTAAGCCACCCAGTCTGTAGCACTTTGTTACAGTAGCCTGAGCAAACAAATAATATCCACCAAATCAGGGTGTCTGAGGATTCAATATGTCATTATGGGTGATAGTATTTGACATTGAGCAAACACTAATAAATATCCACTAATTTACTTATCAGAAAGTGCTAGCCATGTGCCACATGGATTCCTAAATGCCCAGCTCTTCATTGGCTGTATGTATAGTGTGTGTGATTTCAGAGGTGGTTCCAGGCCATACCCACCCGCAAAATGCAAGTTCCTTCATTTTTCTTCCATAAGACCTTGTCCCAAGTTAATAATAGTACTGATGGTATAGTCATAGTGATAACAACCACTGAATAACCATTTCCTACAAGAAAGGCACTGTATGCTCAGTGCCTAATGTATATTATCTTCTCCACCTTCCCACTGCCATGTTATTGTTGTCCACTGTTGAGGTTTACAGACCTCTGTGATCCTGGATTATCAGCTCCACAGGCTGTGTTTCATTCATCTCAAGCTGCATCACTACCCTCCTTTCACCACCTCTGCCTTCTCATTGTCTGTCTGGGTCTCTTAGATTCCCTCCAACCCAGGCGGGTAGCAGTGTGGAGGAGAAGTCTCAGCCTGACATTCCATCTGTTCTCCTTCCTGGAACCCAGAGGGGGCCAGGAGAAGGGGGTGGCATCCCTAGTCTCCCCAATACTGAGGAAGAATGGGGCCCTTCCCATTTTACCCCTTCCTTTCTCCCTTGCCTCCGGAAATGGGCCACTTCTGCGTGGGGCAGTGGGTCCCAGTTCGGCTCACACTGAGAATGTAAGAACTACAAACAAAATGTCTCTTAAAGTTTGTGTCTCAAAACAAGAGAAGGGGAACAAGGAACTCCCTTCCCTACATATGCTGGTAACCATGAACCTGTGAGGCTGTACTCAGCCTTTTTTCCTTTATTGTGCTTATCCACTGCTGCATAACAGATCACCCAAACACTCAGTGGCTTGAAGGTGACCATTTCATTTCTCACCATTTCTGTGGGTCAGGAATTTTGGAAGGGCTTGACTGGGCAGTGCTAGCTTAGCATCTTTCAGTGCAGTTGTAGTCAGATGGTGACAGGTGTTGGAACAGCTGTGGACTGGCCCGCCATCTGTCTTTCTTCCTGAAATCTTGAGCCTCCCCGTTATGGTCACTCTATATAAGTTGGTTTGGGCTTCCTCACGACATGGCTGCCTTAGGATAGCTGGACTGCTTATTTGATGGTTCAGGGCTCAGACACAAGATAGGAGCCACAACACACTTTATGATTTAACCTTAAAAGTCACAAAAGGTCACTTCTGCTGCATTTTATTGATTATATAAGAGTCAGAAACTCACCAAGTTTCAAGGGAATGCCAGTTGAAGCCAACCTTCGATGAAGGAGTGGCAAGATTCCAGAAATGCATCGAAACTAACATCGTGTGGCCTTCTTTGGAAAATATATTTTGATACATCCCTAGACACTGTTTATTTGCACAAACTGTTTATGTAAATAAAGCTGCATGACACTGTCATCAGCCTACACATACCTAGTAAACATTGACTCCGTTCAGGTTGTATGCTAAGCCTGAGACTTCAAAGGTGAAAAGTCCTTATCTGAGACCTTAAGGAGTTAGGGACTTGTTAGGGGAAATAGATACATAAACAACAATTTATAGTATCACTTGATCAGTAAATGAGGTACAGGGTACAGTGGTGAATGGAGGTATGAATACATTGAATGAGTATTTACTGAAATAAGTACCTCCTTTTCTCCATGTGAGACACCCTGGGGTGACAAGCTCTGGGGATCCAGGGAGAATGAAAAAAAGACACTGCCCCTGAGCTCTTTGAACTTTCTGTCCAGGAAGGAACGAGGAACTCTAACCGCCGGCATTAAGGTGGGGCTGAACTCTCACTTGTGTATCATGTTACAAAATCAAGGCTATCAATGTGGAAATTTTACTGTTGATATTTTAAAACATATTGGTTTATTTTAAACATAATTGGTAGATTTTAAAAGGACTTTAATGGCTTCCTTGAGAAAATGGAAATGAGCGCTTTGTGCATTACATTTTTAGATTTTCTTTTGCTGGCATAACACCAAGAATCCAAGTGAGAGGTTATGAAATGAGTAGATAGAAGAGTATTCCTGGTGAGAAAAATTTACTGTTCCTTATAGTCTAATATTGATGCAGATTGAGTATCACTTATCTGAAATGCTTGGGACCAAAAGTGTTTGGGATTTTGAATTTTTTCGGATTTTGGAATACTAGCATTATACCAGTTAAGCATCTCAAATCCCAAAAAATCCAAAATGCTCCAATGAGCATTTCCCTTGAGTATCATGTTGGCATTCAAAAAGTTTCAGATTTGGGGGCATTTCAGATTTAAAATTTTCAGATTCAGGATACTTGACCTGTGAACACAACCTTGTCTTTTTCTCCTGTTAAACCAAATACTGTCAATACTAGAACATGTATCTTATCATGCTTGCCTTTTTCTGAATTTCATAATTAACACATATATGTTGAAGGCCTCAAGCTTTCAATCTGCAACCAATGTTAAATTCAACATGAACTTTCATTTCATTTGCTCATTTGACAAAGGAGTTTGTCATCCTGCTTGGAGAGATAGGTCCATACATTGTTGAAAACTTAACTAAAAAATGCTAATGTGTATACCATTGAGGCTGGATTGGGTATACAGAAGATCCCATGTCAAGATGAAGTCATTCACTTTAGAGAAAGCTCCAGACAGGTTGGTGTGATTGGAACAGACAGATTCATGTTAAACGCTATGCTCCACTATCTTGCAGGTTCTTCATTCCTTTACTGATGCCATCTTTGATGAGTGGATGAAAAGATTCAATCCTTCTACAGATGCCTGGCCTCAGGAGCTAGCACCTATTGGTCACAATCGGATGTACAACATGGTTCCTTTCTTCCCACCAGTGACTAATGAGGAACTGTTTTTAACCGCAGACCAACTTGGCTACAGCTATGCCATTGAGCTGCCAGGTAACTAATACAACTTTTAAATGGGTGATTCATTCATCTTCTAAAGGAGCTAGCTTTCTTTCTTTTTAATGTAAACCATGACCTTTAACTGAAGCTTTCAGGTCTAGTTAAGTTTGTTGACCATTTTTCTAGCATATATGTATTTAGCCTAACAAGCCTTTAAACTACCAATTAAACATTAGAGGCCAGGCACAGTGGCTCATGCCTATAATCCCAGCACTTTGGGAGGCTGAGGTGGGCATGTCGCCTGAGGTCAGGAATTTGAGACCAGCCTGACCAACATGGAGAAACCCCATCTCTACTAAAAATACAGGCATGGTGGCACATGCCTGTAATCCCAGCTACTTGGGAGGCTGAGGCAGGAGAATCTCTTGAATGCAAGAGGTGGAGGTTGTGGTGAGCCAAGATCACGCCATTACACTACAGCGTGGGCAACAAGAGCAAAACTCTGTCTAAAAAAAAATCAGAAAGGGACTAATGAACTGACTCTTGTTTTAGAAAGCTGAAAGTTTTTAATAGGTCTTATTGCACAGAGGAATTATATACTCTTATACCTGACTTGATAATTCTCTCTGAATTGATTGGATTAATAAAAAACCACCCTATGGTTGTTTGAAATTTCTGACCAATGAAGTAAAAATGAACTAGCCGCATTGTACAGAAACTAGCTGGATTTAGAGATTATTCCTTGAGGGCAGGACTGGGATTGGGGTGAGGAAAGTACAACATTTTCCTTGAGGACAAAATTCAAGGGGAGGCCAGAAAACTCAGTAATGAAGGTAAGTAATAATATAATATTTTAGAAAATCAAAATTAATGCAAAAAATTAACAATGAATCATAATACACCACCAACATTTTAAATAAAGGCAGATTTTGTTTGTTTTGTGCACCCACATCATCTTCTAAGTGAATCAGTCATTTCCAGTTTAGCCTTTACTAACCCTGATGGACAGGTTTGTGAGGGTTGTCCTTGACTGGCCTACCAGCAGATTGGTCTACATGGGACTCTATGTGTATGTTTCATTAGTTACTGTTCTTAAAGTCATGTTTTAAGGTTGTGGATTATTTAAATTAACTTTTCCCACTTGGCTCAACATATAGGAGGATATTTTGATAAGTATATACAGGGCACATATTTTTCTTTTTGGCCCAGGCCCCAATATGGCTCCACAATGCCATTTAAAGAATCTTAAGGGCCTGGCAACATACTGACATCTGTCTCTACTAAAATTCAAATAACATTAGCCAGGCATGGAGGTGCATGCCTGTAATTTCAGCTACTCAGGAGGTTGAGGTGGGAGAATCACTTGAGCCCAGGCTGTAGAGGCTACAGTGATCCCTGTTTATGCCACTGCAATCCAGTCTGAGCAATAGAGTGAGACCCTGTTTCAAAAAATAATAATAATTTAAAAAAAACTTAATTAATCAAGAAGCTGAAAATCACACAGCCTATCTACCCAAAGCCTCAGCCTAAAAAGCAATCAAGATGATTTCAGAGCTCAATCTCTCTCTCTCTCTGACCTGAGTCTTTCAAGTCTGGTTGTAGTGGGATGCTGGAACAGAGGATGACCTCGAATTAAGAGCCTAGGTACAGAGGGCCTTAGATGCCAGGCAGAAACCCCAATAAGATACCACCTCACACCCACTGGAATGACTACTATCAAAAAATAGAAAGTAACAAGTGTTGCTGAGGCTGTAGAGAAGTTGGAATCCTTGTGCATTGCTGGTGAGAATGTAAAATGGTGCAGCCGCTATGGAAAACAGTATGGGGATTATTAAAAACAAATTGAACAAAGAATTACCATATGACCCAGCAATTACATTCCCAGGTATACCTAAAAGAGCTGAAAGCAAGGTCTAAGAAGAAATATTTGCACACCCACGTTCAAAGCAGCATTATTCACAATAGCCAAAAGGTAGAAGCAACCCAAGCGTCCGTCAGTGGATGAATAAACCAAATGTAGCATATACATACAATGGAATATTATTCAGTCTCAAAAAGGAAGGAAATTCTGATACATGCCACAACATGGATGAATCTTGAGGATATTAAGCTAAGTTTAATAAGCCAGACATAAAAGGACAAATATTGCCTGGCTCCACTTATATGACACTACGAGATAATCAAATTTATGGAGGCAGAAGACGGTGGTTACCAGGGGTTGGGAGGGGAAAATAGGGAGTTACTGTTTGGTGGGCACAACGTATCAGTTTTGCAAGGTGAAAAAATTTGGGGAATGGATGGTGGTGTGATGGTTGCACAATAATGTGAATGTACTTAATGCTACTGAACTGCATATTTAAAAATGGTCGAGGTGGCCAAATTTATGTTACATGTATGTTACCACAATTTCTAAAACATAATTTTTAAAAAAGCTAGGCAGAGGGCCGGTGGCTCATGCCTGTAATCCAAGCACTTTGGGAGGCCGAGGAGGGTAGATTATAAGGTTAAGAGATTGGGACGATTCCGGCCAATGTGGTGAAACCCCATCTCTACTAAAGATACAGACATTAGCTGGGCATGGTGGCATGCGCCTGTGGTCCCAGCTCCTCAGGAGGCTGAGGCAAGAGAATTGCTTGAGCCTGGGTGGCAGAGGTTGCAGTGAGCCAAGATCGCGCCATTGCCCCCCAGCCTGGTGACAGAGTGAGACTCTGTCTCCAAAAAAAAAAAAACAAACAAAACAAAAAAGGTAGGCAGAAGATTTGGACAATAGCAAAAGGCAACCATTTCTGGGTCTTGAACAGAAATGACAGAATAAAAATATCTGTGTTTTAAGAAGATGAAGTTGGCAATAGGTGCTGCTGGATCGAAGCTGGAGGAGAAAGATTAAAATCCTCTTGGAGGAATCCCATCGGGACAGGTCAGGACGTCCCGTGGGATTGGAGAAAAAGGACTAGAAAGAGAATCTTATATTTAGGTGAGTGTAAGGTATAGAACAAATTCAGAGGAGTTGAATTTAAGAACAGTTGGCCAAAGAGAAGAGAATTTTTAAATAAATGACAAATAGGCATACATATACTAAACATGAAATTTGGCCAGGTGTGGTGGCTCACACCTGTAATCCCAGCACTTTGGGAGGCCAAGGCAGGTGAATCACCTGTGGTCAGGAGCTTGAGACCAGCTGGCCAATGTGGCGAAACCCTGTCTCTACTAAAAGTACAAAAATTAGCTGGGCATGGTGGAAGGTGCCTGTAATCCCAGATACTCAGGAGGCTGAAGCAGGAGAATCACTTGAACCCAGGAGGCGGAGGTTGCAGTAAGCCGAGATCGCACCACTACGTTCCAGCCTGGGCGATGGAGCGAAACCCTATCTCAAAACAAAACAAAACAAAACAAAACAAAACAAAACAAAACAAAAAACAAAACAAAAAATGAACTTCACTAATTTTGGGGAAGAGTGCTTATAAAATATATTTGAGTAGACTGGATTTATCATGTGGGAGATTTAGATTTTATTCACAACTATTTGAATGGGTATAAATATCACCTGCATTGGTTATCGAACGTCTCCTGTTGTAATAACGAGTCTGATCCCTCTCACAGGTTTATCATCCTGTAAAAAAGGTAGAGACAATAGCAGAATTTCTCCATCGGAGGGTTGTGTATTTTGCAGTTGCCCAGATGCCATTTTAGCATGCACTTTTACAAATGAGTTTCTAACTCACAAAAGTAGTTACATTCTTCCTTTGAGGGTTTCTTCCGCATAAGCATTTATTGTAACAAATTTTTAAAATGCAATAAGCTGTATTTAAGTAATGGGATGCCATTTCTGACTTCCCCAAGAAAAACAATTGTGGATATGATAAATGGTGAGAAAGGAGAGATAAATTTTAGTCTAGCAAGAATAGTTTTGCTTTATCAACAAAAAAGCATGAGAAAGGCAAACGTGCTTACTCTTTTTCTCTTCTGAAAGTATTCAGCTGATGAAAATCCTGACTGTAGACCCTTCTCTTCTGCTTTAGTTTCAGTTGAAGAAACTCCAGGTTGGCCCACAACCCTCTCAGTGGTCATGGGAATGCTGGTGGCTTTGGTTGGTCTTTTTGGGCTGCTGGCTTTTCTTCAATATAGAAGACTTCGAAAAGGATATACACCCCTAATGGAGACACACTTAAGCAGCAAGAGATACACAGAAGAAGCCTAGGGTGCCCTCATCTCTTACCCAAGAGAAGAGGCTGGCCAAGCCATAGTTCTGACCCTGACAATAAAGGAACGAATCCTCACTGTTCCTTTTTGAGTTGAAGATCTTTGACATAAGTTCTTCTACAGTGATAATGACCTCATACAGAAGATGCTTAACTATAGTTTCCACTTTGCTTGTTGTTTAACGAACCCAAACTAAAGTGCTTGGTACTACCTCTATCTTCAAGTAAAGGTAGACCTGACAATTTGTGGTTTCTGATAATAATCCCCCATACTGATTAAGTCTCCTCCTGTCGTGAAAGCATTTTAAAAGACAAACAAAAAATCCCAAAACGTTGATCCAGGGAAGTCATTTACATTTGCAGGTTGGTGCAATTTGAGACCTGGCCAAGACCATGCATCAATCTTTCTTAGCCTGTGTCTTTATTGGTGATGGCATGAAGGTGGGAGGTGGGAGGTGTTAGATGAATCTCTAGGATCTCTTAATTATAAACATCTCTGCTTCTAGGCACCTTCCTGATTATGTTCCTTGGGCTTCTTTTTCTTCTTTTCTCTATCTTTTCCTTTCCAGCTTGGAAGATGAGAATTAGCCTTGTTTTCTATATAGGATGAAGAATGACTAAATGAAGGATTAACTCTGCTCTACAGTGTAAATTTGATTTTACGGATTTTACTTAAAATCTGCAGTTTTAAACAGTAGACCTATATTACAGGATTCAATAGCTGGATACACATTGATTCTATAGTGATAAATAGAGAAGATAATAAAATTATAGAGCTTCCTAGTGACTTGATATACTATTCTAAACATATTAACAAATATAGAATTACTCTTTCCAAGAAAGGCTGACTGAAGGCTGGCAAGGCTATAAACCTGAACATGAGACAATCTGACTTGAGTCCCATTACTCTGAGGTCTCTTTGGCTAATTCTGAACCAATTTCTTTGCTAGGTAGCCTCAGATGAAAAATAATTCCTACATAATGCACTTGGCATATTTTTAAGCACTGGTGTTAGATTCATTAATGCTGCAGTATACTCACAGTTACTTATGAATGCTGATCAATTAAGTCTTATCATTTGAAAGCAAACCATCTGTACAAAACATGACAATTCAGAATTAAGCGGTTATGTTCTGCTATACAATCATCAGATCATGAGAAATAAGAATAAGGCAATCTTTACTACGATGTTCAGACTTATCATGATGGGCCCCACTTCAGAGAAGTTAATGGCTCTTGAGATTTTCAGACAAATTCCATCTGCTCATATCTGCTATCTGTGCAACAGGAGTGAGACTGAAGTTCTAGGGCGTGGTTTGTCTGTAGGGGCCTCTCTCTACTGGAATGAATGTCCGTAAAGAATGGGTGTTAAGAGGGCCCTGGAGCTGCCTTCTACATAAGGGAGGTCCAGAGGTTGCAAGATTCACCAAGAACCAGTTTACCCCTGCAATAGGATTGCTAAAGCCAGAGAAATGGACAACGCCCAATTGGAACTGAATCTGAGTTTGAATCTCATAAAGTTACAGGTGTATCTGAGAGCATGCTCAGTGGTGAAGATCAAGATAGCCCGGAGTCCTTCTTGGGGGTAAAGCCCTGCTTGGGCTTTTTAGCCACAGCCATACGCATACCTCCCAATTCCTGTCATTAACAACATTCATGGAAAATACAGCACTGTATCTTTCACATGCTCCGTTCTAGAAGGTTTATGTTCTGAGCTCAGGGTAGTTGGGGAACACATTTTAAAATCCTGCTTTTAAACCAAAAGAGAAATATTTTTAAATGAAGATATAATTGTGCATGGTACATCACTTTTCCTGAAAAGTGATGTATAAATCAATTATGTGTTAAAAGCACCAGGAGAAATTACTTTTCATAGGTAAACAATTATGAATAATTATATAAAGCAAATAACCACCTCCAGCTTATCTTTCAGGTATGCCAGAATTCTCATATATCATACTCTCATAAGATTTGGTTAAAGCAAGATCTATCTTAGGTAGAAAAAAATAGTAATCAATTATACTTAGCTACTTTTATCTATAGTGTGGGCAACTTTTTACTATTGTGTTTTATAATGTCTTCCTAAGATAAATAATTTCCTAATGTTGTAGTTCATGTAGGACAAATACAATTTTCTAGCATTTTCTGACCTTTCAATAAATCAATTAGGAACGCATTTTAACAAACATTAAGGTAGGATAAACCAACAGAATATAAAGCTGGTATTTACATTGAATATAATGCAAATAAACTCAGAAAATGTCACCAAATACTTTGGGCTATATTTCTCAATGATGAGGGAAGAATTCAACCTTGAAGAAAATGAACAGATCGCTTTATGCTCACATCTTCAGTATTAGAAAAACTGCATGTATGATTTTAATAGATATGCTTTTTATAAAGCTAACATTCAGAAATGGGATAAAATGCAATAACATCTTTCCTTTGTGCATTAAATGTCCTTCTAATCCTAAAATTCTTAGATGTTAATTTGTGCATTAAATTCCCTTCTAATTCTAAAATTCTTTGACATTGCATCTTGCTTAGGATTTAACATTGTTAATTATAATACTTTTAATGATTAGTTTTAATCTTATGTTATTAAGAAGTAGAAAACTTATTAAAAAAGAAAGTAAAAATAAATGATGTTTTGCAGATTATTGTTTGTCTTTTGAAGGTTATTGTTTTTTAATTTGTGTGCATTAATTCCCATCTTTTGGGCACTCAATGTGTATATTAAAATATATATACATGTAAAACACATAATAACAACCTCAGTCTGAAAAATAATCTCTTAAACTGACATGCTATTTTCTGCTGAGTTTCCAAACAATTGCTGTTTTCTGAATCTGTATTGAACAGGTAGAAAGGATAGCCGGTCTTTCCCCAGGTGAAGTTACTTTTGATATCCCCACCGTTTAGTGACTAATCCTGGCATGGAAGCTGGTGGCTACTTCACGTGACCAACCAGGGAAGACAGATCCTGCAGCAGCTAACTTGGTGATCCCCCAGATAAGCCTTCAAGATAAGACCCCCAGAACAAGGAAGTTAGAACCAATGTGGTAATGGTTATGTGAGGTTTGCTTCTACAACTAGACTTGGAAGTTCAAGATCAGGTCGTACGCCCCTCTGTACAACTACACAGTCATTATATCAAAGCATCTTGCCTTAAATACTCAGAGAATGTTGGTGGTTGATATACATGCATAAATGAACCAGTTCACCCCCAAGAGGAGGTAATTCCTTTCTCTAATGCAATGGCAAAATCTAAGGTTGAAACTCTTTCTATATCTGTAGCACTTTACTTATCCTGAGTACTTTATAAATATTCTTTGAATGAATAAATGAATGAATAAACTAATCTCATAGTAGAACTTCTCATTCAGAGCTTCTGACACCTGTTTTAAGATGTACTGCATAAAACATAAGATCCCTGCCATGAAGTTACCATACAACCTATCCTTCAGATTCTGAATTGCACATATGCTAGGTAGAATTATACTCTATGCACCTAACACAAGGAGACATTCTTCAGGTATATTTTCTTTCTAGATGCATCTTCTTCCTAACATTGGTAAGCCTTAATTCTACCATTTATAGGGACAGGGACAGAAAAGTTTTTCAGCCACCTCTCCTCTAAGTCCTCACACATACCATTTTAGGGTTCTCCACTGTCTGTATCCTAAAAGCTTTGTTTCAGTAGAAGGAGTTAGCAGGCAAATTATTTAGTCAGGCAAACCAATGCCTCTCTCATACTGATGGACTCAAACAGCAATTGCTTTAGAAACTCTCCAAAGATGACAATACTTTGACTCTAGCTATAACAGCAGTTCAAGCTGAAAAAATCCCTCATGAATTTAGTTCTGCTTTGACAGGTCATTTAATGAAATCTTGAGAACCATACACAAGAATATTGTAAACTATAAGTTAGTTTTCTAAAACAAAAGAAAGTTAAAAGGTTTCTATTCAATACCTGCATGCTATATATAATTTTCACCACAGCTACATCTGTTTGGGTAGAAACCATCAACCCACTGCCCCATCAACTTTAGTCAGACTTCTTAAATCTAATATGACTGAATTTTGTCCTTCTTTTAACCATTTTCTGCTCTTTTGGCAGTTTATAAACAAACTAAAATTATCACAGTGCCTCCCAGGCATAATTGTTCTGGTTGTAATAATGCTAAGTAGAGATGCTAGAGCTTGGCCTTCTTTATTAAAACAACAGATTTCACTGCCAGAGGTATGCACCCTGATTACTCATTCACTTTGTATGTGTTTGAGGGTTTCTGAATTTGCAATTAGCCCAATGACCAATCTTGATTACTAGGGGAGTGGAATTAGGCTTACAATAAAGCAAAACCTGCCCTCTTGTGTTTTATTAGAAAATTGCACAATGTAGTAAAGTTCTTAGAGCTGCTTTCCTCTACCGTGGTTGATTTCCTATCCATAGTGGAAAAAAAGGTGGGAAGGTTTGCCATGAATTCAGAAATCAAAACAGTTAAAGTACAATATTTAGAAAGAAATAGTTTCCTACATAGGTTCTCACAATTCCCCTTTTAATCTATTTTGAAATATTAAATGTTTACCAGTAAGCCAGAAAAGTTTGGGGGAACATTTCAGGCCATTGGGCGAAACGCTTTTAGGTGTGGCAAACACACACAGAATATAATTTAGTTAAATGTTATTTAGATGATCAGGTTGCAGCTGGAAATTGGGGGAATTTATTTTTTCTGTTAAAAACTGTCATCAAGAAGAAAATTTGGGAAAAGTTTGTAAAACAAATGTTGATCAATGTATTAAAACTACGTATAAATATTTGAACTCAGGTGTGGGTGTGAGCAGTGTCTAAAGATGTCCTTCAGTGTGGAAAATTTGCTTTTCAAAACTGTAAACCCACAGTGGCTTTATATTGGGTGATTGAAAAAGAAACTCAAATGATAAAGGAGACAGGGTCTCTTTCTAGTTTTTGTAAACCTTTCCCCTCTAGGGAAATACACAGGTAAAGATTAAAGAGAAACACATGCACGTGTCATTTATTTGCTTATTCTGGCTAGTTTTGTTTGTCAGAAAATTGGGGCTCCAATTATACATCTATGTCCATCTGCTATTATTTTCTGGTGGTTCTCTCTGGAAGAAGATTACAGACCTGATGATAGTCGCTGTTTTTATGGAGAGAAAGGAAAGGGAAAAACATAAGTGAAGAAATTGAAGAGTTTTATTTGAAACACATCAAATGACGGCAGAAGATGCAGTCTCCCCTTGAGAAGAACCATTAGCTTAATTCCTATTGATACATTATATAGCACACTTTACTGAAGACCTATTTTCCAATGTAGTAAACGTATTATCATTAAAAAAAATTTTTTTTTGAAACAGAGTCTCACCCTGTTGCCCAGGCTGGAGTGCAGTGATGCAATCTTGACTCCCTACAGCCTCCACCTCCTGGGTTCAAGCAATTTTTCAGCCTCAGCGTCCTGAGCAGCTGGGACTACAGGCGTGCACCACCACGCTGGGCTAACTTTTGTATTTTAAGTAGAGATGGGGTTTCGCCATGTTGGCCAGGCTGGTGGCCAACTCTCGACCTTAGATGATCCACCTGCCTCAACTTCTCAAAATGCTGGAAATACAGGTTTTGAGCCACTGTGCTCGGGCCACATATTATTATTCAATAGTACTACTTAAGGTTTCCAGTATTTTTATTTGCTTTTTCAAATAGCAAGCTTTGTCTTGATTATTGCCACTATTCAGTTTTTCCTAACTAAAATTATTTTTGTATTTTGAGTCTTGCATTTCGCATCAAGGAGGTGTGTACAGCAGAAGACCATATGCGTCGGTGCTCTAAGTCATTAGACTTATTTATATGAGCAAATGACTGGTCTTGAAAACAGAAACATAATCTCAATAATTATCCGTGCAGTTAGCTCTCACTTCTTTTTCTCTTCTCCAACTGTGGCAAGCACACAACTTGCAGCGTTTCCTAGCTTGACAAGTCTGATTGGAGCTGCCCCTTTTCTTTTCATTTTAGGCATTTTACAATTCCGAGACACGTAGCAAAATTTTTATAAACTCAAGGTCGCATATCTCTTCCCCTCACTGATGTCCTCTTATCAAGATGCAGGCTTCTTTGTGTTTTTAACATTTTTACTTGAGATATTTCCAACCCTTTGATTCTGTGCTGACTTTAAATCGTTGGCTGTCAGCTACCCGAGTGCCGACCTGGTGCGTTGCGGCTGCCGCTCAGTCTGCAGAGCTCTTGACAGCATTATCAGGCCTCTCCAAGAATCAAAGGGCTCTTGCAATCCAGTAACATGCAAATTTGTTCTTTATCTGCTTCGGTGTGTCACGGCGCACATTTTGCAGCTTAGCGGCACAAAAGCAGGCGTGATCAATCCTTCTGAAGTTGACTGTGTGAGTAACGGGTGTAAAGTCATTGTTTTTAAGCAACCGCTACTCACAACATGCCATTATGATGAACTCACCTTGCAACTAGATGGCTGCCTTAGAGCTGGGTTTCCGCTTGCTAGAGAGATGATACAATTGAGTAGCTTTTATCGCAGGGCACTCCACTCACCTTTGATGTAGTTGTCAGCAGGTAACCCCCCTGCTAGTCTCTGGGTTTGCCCGGGCTTCTGGGTGTCTGCTAACTACACAGTCCCAGGAGAAAACATAGCTTCCTCTAGGCATGGCAGCTGCTTTCCTGTTTATGCCTGTCAGCTTTCCTGATAGAACTTGTTCCTTTCTTCTGAACACTGAAAATGCCGCAAGAAAATATTAATATCAAAGTTGGAACCACCAATAAGTGACTTGACTTCCCTGCATGAAACCTCTGGAAGTTTAAGATAAGGGTTCTTGGCTCCCAGGAGTAACATGGTCTTTGTTGAGCCCGGCGACGAATTAGTTTCAATACACTCTGGCACAATTTTCTCTGTAGACACGAGCACTGAGTCTGTGGTCGGAGATGGCTCTCCTGGGCTATTTTCAATGGCAAGGGGGCACCTTGGGAATAAAATATGAACAGGCCTCAGCTGACGTGGAAGTGATACATGTTAGGAGAGTTTTTTCTTTTTCCTTTTCATTAATTTCTTTTTTTGTGGTAAGAGAAATGTAACATAAAATTTGCCATCTGAACCTTTTTAAAGTGTAAAATGATGTGGCATTCAGTGCATTTACAATATTGTACAACCATTACCAACATATTTCCAGAACTTTTTCATCATCCCAAATAGAAATTCTGTATGTACTGTTAAAAGCAAACTTCAGACAAATTACAGTTGTTGGAATTTGAGCAAAAGAATGCTTTGTAAATCAGGCAGCCCCTTGAATCACAGCAGACTCAGAGAGACTCCAGGGATGCCTCATGGTCAGAACAAATTTATAGGCAAAAAAAGGAAAGTGATGTACAAGGATCGGAAGCGAGATCCAGGGACAGCTAGATTGGTTACAGGTTGGTGTTGGCCTTATTTGAACACAGTTTGAACACTCCGAGGTCTATGAGTGGTTGAAGTATGGTCGCTAGCATAGGCCAACACTCAGCTCTGGTTACAGACGCATACTCCTAAGTTAGCTTTTCAATCTTGTCTTCCTATTAAGCTAGGTTAGGTTTGTCCACAAGGACTCAAACATAGTAGTACAGAGTCCTTCTCGGGCCACATTTAGTTGACTTTAACAGTACCTATTAAATGGTAACTCCCTCCCCACACCTCTTCCCACCAGCCTCTGGCAACCTCCAACAAGGCTTTGGAAGTTTCTCTCATCTCGATTCTGAGATCGTCAGCTCTGTGATTTGGACGGGAATCTAACTGTCTTAAACCAATTATTCTATTCCAGACTCTTGGCTGTGGTGTCTCAGCCATGAATCTAAAACTGAAAGCTAAATAATGAAAGGCATGTTTGCTGAGGGCTCTGAGAAATGAAGCCCAAAGACCAGATCTCGCCCCTGAGTCACACGATGTGAAGATGTGAGAGCAGGAATGGTAGCAGCCATCTTACCTGCTAAAGAGTTTGAAGTGGCCACTTTTTAAAAAATTTAATTTAGGCCAGTTTGAGTTGGGGGCTTCTCTTACAAGATAAAGAATCTTAACTAATGAACTCATCTTCAGGGAATGTAAAAAGAAAATGAGGAAACGGAAACATTGGCTTGCTTATTTATTTGTAGACACCATATTCCATGTCTTTAAGTGAGTAAAAAAAAATTTTTCTTTGTTCTTTAACAATTGCAAGAAACAGAGTGATGTAGCAATTCATAGTGCAGGATGCCTGCAACTGACAGAAACAGGAGCTTGTAGTAGTTCAGCATGGCCTCTTGAGGCAGACAGAGAACAGGCATTTAAATTCTAGTTCAATCATGTATTTACCACTGCAATCTTTCTTTAACTTGTATTTTCTAACTGCTCTGGACTTTAGTTTCCTTGTCTGCAAAAGGATGTTAAAAATGCCCCTCTTGTTCCATTTACACACACACAGAAGCTGTTGCTAGAATATATTGAGTTAATCCACGTAACTTCTTCAGAACAGCGCCTGTCAGATGGGGTGGTTTAAACAACTTACATTTATTTCTCACAGTTTGAAGGCTGGAAATCCAAGATCAAGATGTTGGTGGGGTTGGTTTCTCCTGAGGCTTTTCTTCTTAGCTTGCAGGTAGTCACGCTTCTGCTGCCTCTTCAGTCTCTCCTCTGTGCATCTGCACACGCCTGCCATCTTTCTGTGTGTCCAACTTTCCTCTTCTCATAAGAACACTGGCCAGATTGGATTAGGACCCACCCTAACAGCCTCGTTTTAACTTACTCACCTCTTTAAAGGTCCTGGCTCCAAATATGGCTTTTTTTCCTGAGCTGCTGAGGGTTGGGACTTTAACATATGAATTTTGAGGGACACAATTCAGCTTGAAACAGAGAAGTTGCACAATGAACATTTAGTTTTTTTGTTGTTGAAGTTTTAGATCTGGGGTTACACGTGCTTGTTTGTTACATGAATATTACATGCATAATGGTGAGGACTCACCTTCTAGTGTACTTATCACCCAAATATTGAACCCAATGGGTAACTTTTCAACCCTCCCTCCCCTTAAACTCTCCCTGCTTTTGGATTCCCAGTATGTTATCTCCTTCTTCATGTCCATGTGTGCCCATTGTTGAGCTCCCACTTATAAGTGAGAAGAGATGATATTTGATCTTCTGCTTCTGAGTTCACTTAAGATAATAGTCTCCAGCTCCACCCATGTTGCTGCAAAGGACATGCCTTCATTAATTTTTATGGCTGCATAGTATTCCATGGTGTATATGTACCACCTTTTCTTTATCCAATCAATCACTGGTGGACACTTACTTGGTTCCTTGACTGCTATTGTGAATAGTGCGGTGATAAACATGTGAGTGCAGTTGTCTTTTTTATAGGCGTTCTTTTCCTTTGGGTAGATGCCAAGTAGTGAGATTGCTGGGTTGAATAGTAGTTCTATTTTTAACTTTGAGATATTCTCACACTTTATGTTTTCCATAGAGAGTGAACTAATTTACATTTCCATCAACAGTGTATAAACTTTCCCTTTTCTCCACATCCATGCCAAGATCGTTGTTGTTTGGTTTTTTAATAATAGCCATTCTGCTGTAGTCCCAGCACTTTGGGAGGCCAAGGTGGGTGGATCACTTGAGGTTCAAGACCAGCCTGGCCAACATAGTGAAACTCCTTCTGTACTAAAACAAATAAAAAAAAATTAGCCGTTCATGGTGGGGGAGCACCTGTAATCCCAGGTACTCGGGAGACTGAGGGAGGAGAATTGCTTGAACCTGGGAGGCAGAGGTTGTCGTGAGCTGAGATGGCGCCACTGCATTCCAGCCTGGGTAATAGAGCGAGACTCCATCTCAAAAAAAAAAAAAAAAAAATAGCCATTCTGATTGGTGTAAGGTGATATCTTAGTATGGTTTTCATTTGTGTTTCTCTAATGATCAGTGATGTTGAGCATTTTCTCATGTGTTTGTTGGCTACTTGCATTTTTGTTTTATAAATATTGGTATTATTTGTGAAATCTTTTTGGAATACCTGGTAGGTAAATCTAGTGCAGCAGGTTAAATTTCACGGATCAAGACAAGAAATCCTGGCTTCAGAACTCAAATATAGGCTCTTCAGAGTAAAGCAAAGTGGGACTTGGCTCTGTAAGCTCGTTGCTCTTTCTTTCATGGCAGAAGAACCTATGTGATTTCTTGGTGCTCGGGTGGGTCACTGAGGTACAGATGGTTCCAGTTGGCATCAAGATCTCTTACCATTGAATAAGAAATAAAGAAAACAAAGAGAATGACAGAGGGGGAAACACTTCAAGGAGAGCCAACCATCCTGCTAAGTCCCAAAGGGCACCATTGCCTTTTCCACTTGGTGGAGAGAGAACTGGAATGTAAATGGTGTGTGAAATGTTAAATGTGAGTGAACTTTAAGCAATCGACATGGTGCTTCTGCTTCATTACCAATTTGATTTTTTCTACTAGTGAAGCCAGAGAAAATGTTCCCAGTTTCCAATTATTTCTCAGAGTTGAACAACTTTAATGGCCAGCTCAGTTTGGACTTATCACAGGTATACTTCGGGACATCAGAACCTCCCCTTTTCTTGGTTTGCCTCTTGGGCTTAGCTTTGGGGTGGAAGAGAAGCAGAAGGGGTTTGGGTGATCAGGATGAAAAGAGCTGACTAGCTCCTTACCTCTCAATCTAGAGCTTGAGGTATTTACTGCCTTGTAAGACAGGCAAGAGAAATGAAGAGTCTTCTCCCTGCTCAGCATGTGTCCAAATCCTTGGAGGCTTTGATTTAAAATTTTAACCTTCCAGAGGTCGTTTATTTGTCTTTGTATATTTTGTTGTCTTTCACACATCTGACTGTTGTAGTAGAAAATACTCTTTCAGAAATTATGCACTGACACTTTGAGCCTGCCTTACAAATTGCACATTGGATTTGCATATGTCATTGAACCAATAAAAACTGTGAGCTGCACCGCACTGGTTGTTGCCTGTCAGGCAGCAGCTCAGTTTCAACAGAATTTTAGATTTTTCTCTCCTGCAGTATTTGTACACCTATTTGAATATTTAATTTAATGTTCAAATTAATATGAATGATAAATTTCACAAATAACACATGTAGGACAAAGATGGAAATCAATTGGGGGTAGATTCAGTTTCATTGGGATGCAAGGTGCTCATCTATGGATTTAATTGTGAAGAAAAAGAGTAGAAAGAAATGCAAAGTCCTAAAAGTATATCCTCAGAAATCACATCAAAATGGTGAGGTGTTATTAGAAATTTTTGTAATCATTTTAAACGCTCTGCAAATACATATTTATTGCTGAATTTTTATTTCCAACTTCTTTGGCTATTCACTGTGATTAAATTAGAATCAGCTGCTGTCAGATACATGCTATTTGGCCAAGGCTAATTTTAATCTGCAATTCTAATCTGAACTACTTTTTTCTTTAGGCCATAAAACATAACAATAATGTCTATTTATTTAAACCAAGGAAATAAACTATTACACATTCCCCCCTGACCCCACTGGAGTTTTTATACTTACCGGGCAAAATTTAAAAAAACAAATGCAGATATAATTTGGCTCTTTTACCCCTCACCACTGTTACAATTTCAATACTTAACACATGAAAATCATGTTTCTAACCCTGATTAAAAAGGCTTTCCACCCCCACCCCTCAAAAAGTAACAGGCATGACTGAGATATCACCTTGGGGTCCAAATATGATCACAACTCTTTTTTTTCCAGTTAACTGCTGCGTGACCAGCTTGCTATATTAGTGAGAAATCTAGAATATCTTTCTCAGCTTTCCCCTCTTGAATTACTCAAAATTGCCTGAGGCTTGTGTAGTCCTCAGTCTGATCTCCACCCCTAGGAAGGGAGCGCTGGTGATTTATTAATCTGCTCTTGCTGTTACTTCTCGTTAGCCCACGGTGTGGATTTTGAAAGCTGGTTGTAAACAGTTCAGCAGGTGACGCTGGTCCACTATGTTCTGCAAGGACCATGCGCTGTACGCGCAGTTGTCTGCTACCGCCTTCTCGGGGTGCTGGACCTTCTCGATGTGCAAGGTGTGGCCCCCTCTGGTGGCAGCTGTTGGGTTCTACTCTTTCAGTGCCACATTCAGGCCTCTTCCAGGATACCAGTTACCCCAGGGTTTGGCACCTCTTGTTTCTGAACTCACTGATCCCTTTCCTGTGGAGAAAGGGGTGTGTTTTCTCTTTGGGCCTGAGAGCTTTTTCTTTACAAATCTTAGAACTCAAAGTACTTGATTACACTTCTTTTCTGGGTGAATGGCATTGCCTGTTCTTATTTCCAGGAGAGGCCAAACAAGATTTTTTTTTTTTTTTTTTGAGATAGAATCTCACTCTGTCACCCAGGCTGGTGTGCAGTGACATGATTCGGCTCACTGCAGCCTCTGCCTCCTGGGTTCAAGCGATTCTCCTGCCTCAGCCTCCCAAGTAGCACGATGCCAGGCTAATTTTTATATTTTTAGTAGAGACAGGGTTTGACCATGTTGGCCAGGCTGGTTTTGAACTCCTGATCTCAAGTGATCCACCCGCCTTGGCTTCCCAAAGTGCTGGGATTACAGGCATGAGCCATCGTAGGCAGCCCCAAACAAGATTTTTTTATGGGATCCTACATCCACTCCCAAAGGGACCCACGTTCAGTGACTCATCTTCCTTAGGATGCCCCAGGTGATGTTCAGGCATGTTTTTCTTTGGAGCAAAAAAATAAATCAACACACAACAACAAAATAAATTTAGTCTCTGATGGAGCATCTGGGTTTGTAAGTCAACCCAAATTTTGGATCCCAAATCTCTTCCAGAATTGTTATAACTTTCTGAATTCTGTAAATATTGGTTATTGACTTTCCAGCAAAATGTCTTTGATTACTACAGACTTTCTTTTCTGAAGGGTTATTTGTACCATTTTTTCAATCTCTCATTTTCAATTAAAGTGAAAATATTCCACAGGGATGGAAGATGGAGGTAAAGAAGTATCTTTTTTTCTTGTTCCTACCTTCTTACTTGCTTTTTAAAAAATCTTGTTCAACATAAACAGAAGTGATATTAATCACTTAAGCTTGTCCCTATATAGACTGTAGGAAATTTTGTGACTCCTTCTGTTTCCGCCTGTC